CTTACACTCGAACCAAATAATTAATTCGTGGATGCAATGTTTTCTTTATGTCTATTACGTAGTGAGCTATAAAAAACACATCTTCGATGACATCCTCAATCCCGAGATTCAAAGAACTCAAACCTTCTCCGTTTCCATCCTTTTCATCATTCTTCACAAAATGTTTCGACTTTTTCCTACGCAATCTCAACTGATCTTCCAAAAGACAATTCTCGAGTGAATGACTTAGCAAGAGCCACTTCAATGATCGAATCACTTCTTGATCGTGGAGCTTTTTCTTTTCAGCCAAATTATGGTACCGATTAGCTTCCATTTCGATCACGCTCCTCTCGTTCTGAAGTCACAAAATCATAGCCATTGCTTCCTCTGCTGTAGTGGCAGAAGATACCCTTTCTTTCTCAAGTTCTGCATAAGCTGCATTTGTCGTCTTCCTCTCAATTTTTACAGTTTCTTCAATTCTGTTCTGCATAAGCTACATTTACCGTCTTCCTCTCGATTTTTACAATTTCCTCAATTCTGTAATATCAAATTCTTTAACTTTATCAATAAACTCTTTTACATCATCATCATCATCATCATCACATTCTTCATTATAATCTGTAATTTTTTTTTACATTATCAACAGTCCTCGACCCACATTTGCAATTTGAACTGAAATTCTCATCAAAATCATTTTTTTGAAGAAGACCCATCTAATTTTCCTCTAAAATCACCAAGAAAATCGAACCAAACTACTAAAGAACCAAGAAAGTTTGAGTTCTTTGAATCTCGTGACCGCATCAAACTCCCCTCCGAACTACATAGTGATAATGTCCTTCGCGAAAGCCTCCGACATCGTCATCATCACCATGCCCACAGCGGCTGAGGCTGTTTTATCACTGCTAGGTGGGGAGGATGGCGTCTCTTTGGAAGTTTCTAGAATCAGGAATTTGATCTGGGTTCTGAAAGTTTAGAACATATTAATTATAATTACGTGATTAAATGTATTAATTAATTAATAGGGTATTATTCAAATTTCTTAATTTTTAGGGGTAGTGAGCCTAATTTCCCCTATTTTTATAGGGGAAAAATTCATAGGTCAAAGATTATCTCTCACGAAATCAAAAGTTAGGCCCCAAAGTTTAAATTTACAAA